GGATTTGAACATGGGATCTTCCCATAACGTTTGGTGAGGGTGACAACTAGACCACTTCACTAAGTCGCCACACCTCTCCGATAGATTGTTTAAAACTAATAATAAAGAATATAGTACAGAGTTTGTAAAATTAGCTACAGATATTAGTAACATTGGACAAACTTCTATACGTGCAACAATAGAATGCACTAAAGCCTTCTACCAATTCTTAACTGGAAAAGCACCACAGCAGTGGATAGTGCCAAGCACTTTAGCATGATGAAACAATAAAATGGCAGCTTTGTCCTTTGATCAAAACCATTCTATAGATGGTTGCTCCAGATTTTTTGGCTATGGGGTTATGGTTGACGAAAGCACTAGAGGAGAAAAAAAGGTACTAATTATCTGTTTTTTGTATTGGGGTAATATTAAAGAAAAACCTGTAATTACTGTAGTAAAATTAACAGACCTAACACATTGCAATGCTGAAACAGTTTTGACTACAGTATTTGAAACATGTTAGCTTAGCAAAAAGGTATAAACCCTAGAAATGTTATTTTTGGCTAACTGATAATACAGCCTATATGTTTTCAGAATTAAATGGAGCCATTGCCAAATTTAACTCATTATCAAGTTCGAATTCTTTTTGGGTTCCTTGTGGATTGCACGTGACTCTTATTGCTTTAACAAATTTTGTAAATATAGCATTTGGAAAGTTAGATGCTGTTAGAGGATTATCATTAAAGAAGCATCCATATAATTTACTTAATCTTGCTTTTCACTTTCACAATAGATACAATGTTTCGGATAAGGACAGTCCATTAAACCTAAAATCTGAAACATTTCAAAAGCTCTATAAAATATTGTTTAATTTTGAAATAAATAAATATCAACAACCTATACATTAACGATGGTTATATGAACTTAAAACTGCTAAACAATACCTCATACTTACATAAGTGGCAAATATTCCTTACATGGTTAACAAATAAATAGCTTAACCTTCAAATACATTGTTTAGTTAAGTTTGGTCAAAATTTTTATGAGCCTGTTTACAATTTTTTAATTGGCCATGACCCAATTCCACGTATTTATCAACAAAACAATGTATATGCACTTCTACCATCAAAAAATTGTGTATATGAAATGCCAGATCGAGTAATTTTATGGATTTAGGAGCTTCAAAGTTATCTAAAAGACCTAAATAAATTATTTGGAGTTAAATTAACTGATGCTGAATGTGAGTTGAGTATAATGGATTTGAAAAATTTTCATGAATTACTACATACTGGAATAGAAAATGCATTAAATAGTTTTAATAAATAAATGAAAACTTGGATTCACTTGCTTTTATGTGTTTGTTGTTTAGGTAGTGTAAGTGGACCTGAATTTGCTCGTGCTTTCTTGAAAGTATTTTTTAATAAAAACTCCCTACACCAAAAGAGATTTCTTATATTAATCTCTTAAAAGAAGATTTGTCTAAAGAACATCAAGCTACTTTCAGATTATTAGAAGCATTATCACAGCATGATTTTTTTGAAGAATTTGAAACATTTGCAGATTCTGATATAGCTGAACCAGCTAAATTCTCTCTTATTTACAAATTTATTAAATTTTGTATATGGTGCATCACAGTCCATCAACAACAACTTGAGAGGCTATTTAATTAAAATAATATAAAGGTTTATCGAAATATGAATATTCAGCTGCAATAATCACGTATTCAGCTCTCTGGTTTGGATGATGGTGTTCAAGAAATTTCACAAGAAATATTATGAAATACTCGACAAAATGCTAGAAATTTAAGAGTTAATATACAGTTAGAAAATAGTAAGGTTTCTAACGAAGAAAAAGTATACAAAATTCTTAACAGCTTCCTTAATTGGAGATATAAAAATTAATTCACATATAACAATCTAAATTTTAATAGTAGATATATATTAATTTTTTTAAATCAATATTACTTTAACAGCTTTTGTAACAAGTACTTAACTTCTTACTGTGATCTAAATAATTTTAATTAATAAATAAGTGTTAGATCTTGTAGTTGAATAGTATAAATTCTTAAAAAAATATGCTTACAGTATGTTATATTTATAAGGATAATAAATACCTTTTATTATATTTTAATTATACTTGACAGATTTATTCAACAATGTAAAAGTACTTGTAGAGAAAATTCACTTCTAAAATTAATAGATATTGAAGAAAAAAAAAATCAGAGATAAGCGAAATATTGATTAGACCTCAATTGCTATCGTTATCTGCTATACAACTTTAATCTATAATATGACTAAATTTGGCACCCATGAAAAAATTTGATATTTATGAAAAAAAATTATAAACCAAAAATTTTAGCTTTATTACTATGTGAAGCCACCTTTCATTAAATATTTTTTGCTTGTAGGGTTAAGCAATATTAAATATTACGTAAGGAATTAAAAGATATTTCTTATAGTCTTTACTATCAAAAATCGATTGGAAAATTTTTTACTTTAAAAAATCTTGATTGGTAATCATCTATATATTATATGCACTATGTTGGTAATTAGACTGATGTTGGATACTCTAAGCAGCTATAGTTAATTATATTGACAATAACCATAGCTGCCGCAACAATTTGAAATTGAAGATTCTCAATTTTGATTGGCTAAGAGCAACAATCAAAAAATTAAACCTAAATTACTCATAATTTTACTAATGAAATCATAACCGCCTATTATGTGAAAATTGTTACTGGGTCAATTTTATCATAATGCAGGCTTGTTTTTTAAAAATTTCTATTTTTGTAATAAAAAAAATTAAAAAGTTAATTCCGGCCGGAATTTAGTAAACAATTTTGTAATGTGGGCCAAAATTTTGAAGATCCTTGGCCGCTAGCTAATCAAATCGAGGATCTGCTAGTCCAAATTTGTTGCGGCAGCTATGGTTAATTATTTTGATTTTAACTATAACTGTTGCAACAATTTGGACCAGCAGATTCTCGATTTTGATTGTTTAAAAGCAATGATTAAAAAATTAAGCCAGAATTACTCATAATTTTATCAATAAAATCATAGCCACCTATTAAGTAACAATTGTTTCTGTGTCAATTTTACTATTTTTGTAATGAAAAAATTAAAAAGTTAATTCTGGCTGGAATTTAGTAAACAATTTTGTAATGTGGGCTAAAATTTTAAAGATCCTTGACCGTTAGCCAATCAAAATTTAGAATCTGATGATCCAAATTTGTTGTGGCAGCTATGGTTAATTATTTTGATAGGTGTTTTGGCTTTCCTCATACTTTGAGTAAATGTATCTTCACAACCACTTGACCAAGGTTGATGAAAATTTTTTTATTTAAATTCTATAGATTTATAGAATTCAAATAAAAAACTTTTTATTGGCTTTGGTCAAGTGGTTATAGAGATACATTTACTCGAAGTTTTTAAAAAAATTGGCGCAACTTCTATTTTGACAGAAGTTTTGGTTTTATTCAAACTTTGAGCAAATGTATCTTCACAACTACATGATCAAAGCTGATGAAATTTTTTATTTGAGTTCTATGGATTTATAGAATTCAAATAAAAAAAAATTTTAATAAATTTGGTCAAGTAGTTGTAAAGATATCTTCACTCAAATTTTTAAAAAAATTGGCTTAGCTTCTATTTTGATACTCTTTAATTTTTAGTGAAAATATCTCTATAACCAAATACATAAAACTAAATATTTTAAAATTTTAATCCAGAACTAATAAAACTTATTTATTAAAAATACAATAAAATTACATCAATAAATTAAAGATTTTAAACTAACCAAAGAATCAAAAAAAAATACCAAAATATCTTTAAACCCAAGTACTACTAGAAAATAGCACCAATCCTAACAAAGAGAATTTCAAAAAGCCTAGTAAAGAAAATAGCAAAGATGATACCAGAAAATAGCACCAAATCTAGTAAAGAAACTTTCTTAGTTCAAAAAAATAGCACAAATCTAGCAAAAAAAATTACTAGAAAATAGCACCAAATCTGTGAAGAAAGTTCTTAAAAAATAGCACCAAACCCAGTAAAGAGAATTACAAAAAACTCCAGTTCAAGAAAACAGTACCAAATCCACAAAGAAAATAGCACTAAACTTAGCAAAGAGAATTCCAGAAACCTAGTGAAGAAAATGTCAAGTAAATTACTAGGAAAAAATACCAAAATCATCAAAAAAAATTATCTAGTTTAAACAAAAGCACAAACCTGGTGAAGAGAATTACTAGAAAATAGCACCAAATCTACATAGAAAGTTCTCCAGAAAATAGCACTAAACCTGGCAAAGAAATCTCAAAAAACCTAGTGTAAAAACTTCTAGAAATAGTACCAAACTAGCAAAGATAATAACTAAAAATAGCACCAAATCTATTAAAGAAAATTTTTAAAAAACACAAAACCTAGTAAAAAAAATTTCAGATCTGGCAAAAAGAGTTACCAGAAAGTAGCACCAACTCAGCAAAGAGAATTACTAGGGAACAACACCAAATTTAGCAAAAAAAATCAGAAGAGAACAGTGCCAAATTTGGCAAAGAGAACTAGTAAAGAAAATTTCTAATAAACCTGGAGAAGAGAATTACCAAAAACAGTATTAAATCAGCAAAGAGAATTATTAGAAAACAAATACCAAGTTAGGTTCAAGAAAATAGTATAAACCTGGTGAAGAGAATTACCAGAAAACAACACCAAATTTATGAAAAAATTTACAAAAAATAGCACAAAACTAGTAAAAAAATTTTTTAAAAAACTAAGCAAATAAATAACTCTAAAGTATAACACCAAACCAGTAAAGAAAAATATCTTAGTTACCAACTTAGTGAAGAGAATTACAAAAAAACAGCACCATACCTAATGAAAAAAGTTTCCAAAAAATAGTACAAAACCTGACAAAAATAATTTTCTAAAAATAACACAAAACTTGGTAAAAATCTGGCAAAATGAATTACTAGAGAACAGCACCAAATCTGAAGAAAAAAATTTTAGTAAGCAATACTAAAGCTGAAGAAGAGAATTACTAAAAGCATCAAATCTAACAAAGAAAATTCTCAAAAAATAACACTAAAACTAGAAAAAAGAATTATCAGAAACAGCACTAAACCTGATAAAAATAATTACCAGAAAACAGTACCAAACCAGCAAAAAAAAATTTCAGAAACAGTACCAAACCTTGTGATAGCACTAAACATGGCAAAAATATTTACAGAAAACCCATCAAAGAAACTAAAAGAAAATTAGCTTTCTTGAATTAGAGTAGGTTTCATAGTTGAGAAAACAGCACAAAACCCAGTAAAAAGATTTACCAAAAAACAGCACCAAAGTTCTTCAGAAACCTACAAAGAAATACTTAAAAGAATCTACTAGAGAACAACTCTAAAATATTAAAAAAAGCTCCTTGATGTTTTGGAGCCTCTTTCTGGTAGAACGACTAGAGAATTACCAGAAAACAGTACAAAAATGTCAAAGAGATTTCAAGAATTGTTAATCTACTTTAGAAACACCTAAGAAGTTGAAAAAAGTTAGAAAAAGGAAAAAAAAACAAACAAAAACAAATAAAAAAATAAAAAACTGTAGCCAGAAAAATTAGAAAATACTACTGGAATACCAAAGTAAATGACAAAACTAATTTTTAAATCTAAAAAAAATAAATAAAAGATGATTTTGTATTATGGCTTGGTATGCAGAATAAGATTATTCAACCTTGCATCTGTAATCAGATAAATATATAGCATTAGTCATGTAATTTTTTATTCTTTGATTGGTTAAATAGGCCAAAGATATATAAGCTAGACATCTCTAGCTAAAGATGCCTAGAATTTTTCTAAATAAAATAAATGAAATAAAAGCAAACAAATAAATAAATAAATATACAAATAAAATAAAGTTATTATATTCTACAACATTAATTCATATTTTGATAACAAAATTATATATCATATCTATGGTGTTTAATACTATAGTAATAAACTACAGTGTAATTTATAAATCAAAATAAATTTTTATCAAACCAAAAATTAAATTTTGATTAAAATTAGGGTTAGAATGGCTAAAATGGGGCAAAAGCCTAGTTTATACCAAAATTTTGCAAGAAATTTTTTTATTAGAGCTTAAAAATTGGTTTCATAAATAAAATTTTGAGTTATGCTCTTTTTTTTAAAAAAAACTAAAAAACTCATGTTATACCTAATCTTTATATTACACTACAGCTTATAATAACTATTATTGTTAAAATAATTAAACAATATTACCTAATATCTAACTTTTAACAATATGATTAAAAGATTGTTAATAGTAATTTAATATAATAAAAATATTTAAATTATATTTTAACTATATCCAAAGGTTTCTGTAAAGTAATAATACTTAAAATTTTTTTTTTTATGCTATGATATTCTAATGTAAACTAAAAAAATTTTTTTTATACATGATGAATAGCTTTGTATCTATTTAAAATATGATAAATATTAAAGATTTTGAACTAGATATTGAATTTGAATTATGTCTTATATTTAAAAATATAAATTTATATTAACTATTTGAATATTTATATATTTAAAATATTTATATCATTAAGACATAATCAAATTTTATATTTATAATATTAGAATAAATTCTTTGAATAACAAAAAAATATTGGGTTTACCTTTTTTAAAATTTCATAAATTGGTAAGTTTTATATTATTAATTAAAGCAAAAGTTTAAACCAATTTTAAATAGTGATTATATATGTACTTGATTTTGGCAATGATACTAGAAGTTAAGAGCATATATTAATGAATTTCAGAAATAGATAGGAGATTAGAAATCAGATTTGTGATTTTGAATAGCTAAATAAGAGAATTAAAATAAGCAACAAAATCTATATGACATATATGTTGTGCCTCAGATCGTCAGGTGAGGTGTGTAAACTATGTATTGATATATCATCTAAACTGCAATCTGACGAAAGTAAGAGAGTAAAATAAATTGAATAAAAGTCTTTTGACCTGGACGCTTTTTTATTGATTCTCGCTTTCTTGAATCTCTTCGCGTTTTTCTTATTAGTAGCATTCAGTACCTCTATTCTTTTCTTTAAATTTTTTTTCCTGAATTTTTGTGACACATTTTATTTCCATTTAATATTCTATACATATGGTTGTTATATTTTTCTAAATTTTCTCTGCATACTCTTCCTGTTTAAGTTTTCTCGGTATGTTCAACTTCAATAATACATTTTACTCTATGCATATTTTTTTTTCTGTGAGTAATGATTGATCGATAAGTTACGCACCTCATCTAACAATCTACACCTGAGGTGCATCAGCTGTGATCTGAGGCAAGTATTAGTCTGAGGCACAACATATATATTAAAATAACCTGTTACTTCAATAAAAATTACAAATAAGTATATTAAAAGTGTACAAACTTTAGTAATTATAGATATCTACTGTATTCCTCTGACATATGTATTCTCTATGTACTATACTCTGCAACAGTTTTAAAGCCAAAATTTTGATTTATACCTGGTATATAAGTATAGAAGTATCACACTTTTGTATCCAGTTATTTAATAGTAAAATCTATTAGAAATATAAAAGTATTTATATAGTATATTCTTTCTACACAAGTATCTGGGTACATAACATAGACCATGGAAATGTTGGAGAAATACAGTAATAACATTTAAATTAATAAATTAAAATAATATTTACAACAATAAAACATTTATACAGTCAGACTTTTCTAAATACACATCATCGGGACTAGCCTTAGAGCATATATTTAGGAAGGGTTGCAATTAGAGAACACTAATAAAATCTTAATATTACTATTATCATGCAAAAATATAGCTTTAGTAGCCTAAAAATGATGAATTTGATTGGCTAATAATCATGTGATTGCATTTATGGAGGGAGTTTTTATAAGTGGGCCAGACAATTAGCATGCAATTGCAGAATAAAGAACGTGCATTTATCTATAAGTCCCATTATGAGATTAGTCTTCTATTATGTATTTAGAGAGGTGTTGCATTAAGGGTTGCATTTAAGGAGGTCTGACTGTACTATATTACTTATCTTCTATATCATTAATTAAATTGTCAAACATATTGATTAATAAATAAATGCTGTTGTTGCATGAAAAATTAGACTGCAGTACCCATACAACCCTAATGCATGTTACTAACGATATTGCAAGGATAATGTGATCTCTATCCTGTAGATTGATGGATTAGATAATCATATATCAACAACTAAAAGAAGAACTTGAATAATATGGCATATGGTGTTGCAATAATTCATCCCGAACTCATGAACCATCAATTGTTAATGATCAAAAGTTAATTATCCTAATAACATTCATATTGATACCTAATCTGTACTATTATACATAGATACCTATTGCCTTAATTGTTACTCCTATACACATCACTTCTAGTTGCCATATTAGACTTTATAGTAATAGTGTAAATATTAATCAGCATATGTTGCAACATCAATGGAAGTTCTAAATTGGCCTAATAACTACTGCATCAATGATCCTGCTATGAAATTGGCCTTATTATTCAAGCAAAAAATTATATTCAGTCTGTGTCATCTATACAGATGAACAAGAAATGAATAAACTTAAGCTAAAGGTATGAAACTATTACCAGTAATTGCGATGGATCAAGGCCTAATGAAGACAAAAATCCAAAGCTTACATAAAAGAGTTAGAGTTGAAAAGGATGGTGGGATAAATCATCGATAGATTGATAGATAGAATAGATTTGGTAGTTGCCCACTGTAATTAATTATGTAACCATGTTTGTTATTTAAAGGCCACAATTCTGCCTTCAGAGTAGTTTTCTACAGTCTTCGATTCCCCTTTAATAGCTATATATCTCCTTTAATAGATTTAGTTTGAATTCTCCTGGTATCCATGACTATCTTCATATAGTCATACTCTACGATTGAATAAATCTGTTTGGTATCACGTGTGACTCGTGATCTTTGATTATTATTGTATCGTCACATGTGACTCGTGACCTTTTCTTAATACAATACTTCGTATCTTCATATACGTTGTATTGTTGCCTCTTTCGATAAAGCCTTAATAAACCTCTTTGCTAAGTCATATATACCATGCTTCTCTTGCCTCGCCAAATCATAAATTAGTAGTCTGAGATAGACTAACCTCTAGTTCCTGGAAGTTGCTTGAGAGGTCAACTTCAGGTGTAACACCGCCAAGAGAAAACCTGCAAATCTTATTAGATAATATTTACAGGTTTTCTCTTGGCGGCAGTCAAATGATCTTATACTGTACAAACCCTACCTTCTATATTTTACACGAATAGAATAAGCATAATGAGGGACGTGAATGCTACGAACTGGAGCACAGGAGTAGATTATTATAAACGTGGAGGTTAAAAATTTTCATCTCATATCAATACGAATGAGACGAATGCATATATAATAGCTAAATGTTTTCACGTTTATGCGAATATAATGAACTTAAAATTAGATATGCAGTGCTATAAGGTGTAAGTTCATTTAGATAAAACTTAGGCCGTTCAAAGTTGATTAGTTGACAACATTTTGAGTTCAGGGGAAAATTTAAGCAACAAATATATGACACAGAGTATTTGATTAAATATCATTGGTCGGCTTTAATCACATGATTAAACTGATTGACTTTTTTAATTTCAGGAGAACAACTAACTGAGAGGGAAGATAACGTTACATAACTATTTAGCTTTGAATGACATTATTGTTCTTAGTAAGATTTACTTCATGGTATCCACATATAAAGCAGATCACATTGTGAAGCTGTGGGCGCTTGATCAGTTATGGATCTTTCGTTTATATATATCTGATATATATACAGTTGACCCTCTCAAAACCGATCCTGTCAAAGCCGATAACCTGTCAAATCCGATAAGAAATTAATCTACCAAGTCCGTTCCCATTATAATAATTTAATAGTTTGCTATGTTTTCAAATCCTATAACATCTTAAAACTGATACAAAACCGGAAACGGACTTGGTAGATTAAATTTTTGTCAGATTTGACAGGTTATCGGCTTTGACAGGATCGGTTTTAAGAGGGTCAACTATATATATATATTATTATTTTATTTTATTTTATTTTTGTCTAGGATTTCGCCAAATTAGAGGTTTAGCCGAAACTTTTCAAACCTTGCCGAAGGTTTAAGAAACGCTGGTAAAAATATGCAAAATACAATATTCTATCAATTTTTAATGTCTCACTATTTAAGGACTGCCATTATAATATGAATGTTTAAAAAATTTTAGAGATCTCCATAATTTTAGTATCTTTGGGACTTCAAGGATTGTACACTTCGGAACTGCAGCCACATCCGGGTGATAATTTTCCCGTTCACAACATATCAATATCGATGTCCCCTAAAATTATTGGTGAATTATAAATACAGACTAACTATTTATATCTACGTACCTGATAGTTATTATCGTTAAACATTTTAACAAAAAAAGCCAACTAATCAGATGCACATATTACATAGGACACTTTACTACTAATTTTGGATCTTATGCACGTATAATACGTACGTACGTACATAAACTAAAATTTTTTTGATCACTTTACAATATGTTAGAATTACCGAACGAATGCTACTATGCAATATTTGATAACTTTCGGTATAATCATAAAGATTTATTTTCATGTGCACTTGTAAGCCGTCAATGGTGTAGAATTATTATACCAATCTTGTGGAGTGAACCGGAATACCATTTTAGAGATAAAAGACTTATAGAAATATTCCTTTTAACGTTAAATGCTGAAGAACAAGCTTTATTAATTCCTTTTGAAATTACTCTTCCAAGTCATCCAAAACCACTATTTGAATATACAAGTTATATCACATCTATTAATGATGATTTGTATGGTGGTATTAAAAATTGGCTTCATTATGAAAATGATAAAAGAGAATGTGAGCTTGAAAATGCCGTTAAATGTTCTTTAATTGTAATGTTTTTACGAACTAGTAAGAATCTTAAATATTTAAGTTTTAATGAAATTATTTGCAATCAAATAATATTTGAAAATCTTTGTGAAAACACTACTATTACCTCTATAGATATATATAAACTCAATAGTGATTTTAAATCTAAGACAATCGACGTATTAATAAATTTTATTTATAAAAATTCCACTTTGACTTCATTAAATCTTGGAACAATTCAACTTGGATTTGAAAGAGTGAAAAAGCTATTAAAAGCTCTTTATAAAAATAATGTCCTAAATTATTTAGATCTTTGTTATAATCAGATTGATGCCGAAGGAGGAAAGGTGCTAGCAGAGTTTCTTTGCGATAACACTACATTGGTTTCTTTGAATCTTTTTGGTAATAATATTCGATCGGAAGGAGGAAAAGCATTAGCTGATGCACTTTGCAAAAACACTACGCTAACTTCTTTGGATCTTGAATCTAATGAACTTAAACAAGAAGGAGGAAAAGCATTTGCTGATGCGCTTTGCAAGAATACCACGCTGACTTCTTTGAATCTTGCAGCTAATAATCTTGGGTTAAAAGGGGGAAAAGCATTGGCTTATGCACTTTATAAAAACACCACGTTGAAAAATTTGAACCTTTATTATAATAATTTTGGATCAGAAGTAGGGAAAGCATTAGCAGATGTACTTTGTGAGAACACCACGTTAAAAGATTTGGATCTTCGTAATAATTATCTTGGATCAGAAGGAGGAATAGCATTAGCAAATACACTTTGCAAGAACACTGCATTGACTTCTTTGGATCTTTATTGTAATGAACTTGGATTAGAAGGAGGAAAAGCATTAGCGGATGCACTTTGCAAGAATACAGTGCTAACTTCTTTGGATGTTAGTTATAATCAACTTGGATCAGAAGGAGGAATTGCATTAGCAGATGCACTTTGCAAAAATACTACGTTGACCTCTCTTAATCTTAGAGAGAATAATATTGGATCCAAAGGAGGAAAAGCATTAGCAGAAGCACTTTGTAAAAACACCACTTTGACTTCTTTGAATCTTGGTCGCAATAACATTGGATTAGAAGGAGGAAATGCATTAGCTGATGCACTTTGCATTAACGCTACGTTGGAAGAGTTAAGACTTGATAATAATAAACTTGGATCAGAAGTAGGAGAAGCATTAGCAAATGCACTTTGCAAGAACATTACACTTACTTTTCTGTTTCTTTATGATAATAACATTGGAGTAGAAGGTGGAAAAGCATTAGCAGATGCAGTTTACAATAATACCACGCTAGCTTTGTTGGATATTCGTTCTAATAGCATTGATTTTGAATTAAAATCAAACAATCGAAATATAGAAATACTACAAGAATAAATTGTTAAATTTTAAAAAATTTATTCCCGAATATAAAAGGTTGATAAAAAGTCCATAAAAAGGCTTTTTTGTTATCATCTCCAAAATTGAATAATATTGCTTGCTGTAGGAAATTTTGTAACAATCACATTATAAAATTAAATAAATCTTGTGTTAGGCATTATCCTTACTTGAAATTCGCAAATATTTTATATTCTCATAAAATAAAACCATTTTTAGTTTAGAAAAATATATTTTACAGGCAATCAACCTTCTTACTAATCTAATCTTTAAAACATTTGATTAATTAAAAATCTTAAACTGTGCAGATCGGGTTTACCACAAAATCCAGAAAGACAGATTCCCGAAAGGACCTAGTACCAACAAAGTTAGCCGGCATTAGTTATAATGCTGGGCAATTTATTTGGTATTATGTTCTTTCGAGAAAATAGTTTTTGAGATTTAGTGATGTAGATCTCAGTAAAAATAAGAAATTTCAAAACTTTGAACGAAGTTATCTCAACATCATCTAACCAAATTCGATAAACTTCTTTTATTTGAATTCCGTGTATTCATAGAATTCAGGAAAAAAAAATTCATTGAATTTGGTCAAGTAGTTATTGAGATATCTTCGCTCAAAGTTAGAGAAAAATCAAAACGCATATCAATAGAAGCTGCGCTAAATTTTTTCTTAACTTTGAGCGAAAATATCTCGACAGCCATCTAACAAAATTCAATAAAACCTTTTTTAGTTGAATTCATGGATTCATAAATTCGAGTAAAAAATCTTTATCGAATTTAGTCAAGTGATTATTCGAGATAACTTCGCTCAAATTTAGTGAAAAATTAAAATACATAACTTCGAGCGAAGATATCTCTACAACCATCTGGCTAAATTCGATATCTGAATTCTATGGACTTATAGAATTCGAATAAAAAAAATTTCGTCGCTTTAGTCAAGTGTTATCGAGATATCTTCTTTCAAAGAGAATAATCAAAACGCATATCAAAACAGAATCTACGCCAAATTTTTTCTCTAACTTTGAGCGATGATATATGAAAAATTTTTTATTTAAATTCTAATAATCTATATAATTTGAATAAAAAAGTTTTATTCAATTTAGTCAGATAGTTCTCGAAATAACTTCGCTCAAAGTTAGAGAAGAACTTGGCGTAGATTTTATTATGATATGCTTTTAATTTTCACTAAATTTGAGCGAAGAAATCCCAATAACTACTTGATTAAATTTGATGAAGATTTTTTTATTCGATCTATGAATCCATAGAATACAAATAAAAAAAGTTTTATCGAATTTTGTCAGATGGTTGTTAAGATTTCTTCGCTCAAAACTAAATAAAAAAACTTGGCGTAGCTTCTATTTTGATATTCGTATTGTTTGTCTCTAACTTTGGGCGAAGTTATCTTGCTAATCCTTGACTGAATTCGATGAAAAATTTTTTATCTTGATTCTACGAATCCGTAGAATTCAAATAAAAAAGTTTTATCAAACTTGTTTAGATTGTTGTCGATATATCTTCGTAAAAGTTTGTATTTTTACTGAGATCTGCACGACGATCAGTATCAAAAAAAAGTAGATTAATAATAAATGTTTTACGTACTGTACGTACGTACGTACTAGCCTTCGCTAGTTAATTTAACTTTTCCGATTTATGCACAAATCTGCATTACTACAATACTAAATACATACGTATAGTTTTAATTAATTAGGTGTAACTTTCATGAAAATCGCTTGGCTTTAAAAGATCCTTAATTTGGAATTTTTAACAACGTTGCACATTTTTCTATTAGTAAAAAAAGAGAATATTGTATACTGAAATCAAAATCTTTAATCATTTTTTGATATGATAACATTACCGAATGAATGCTACTATGCAATATTTAGCAATCTCCGGGATGATTATAAAAGCCTATTTTCATGTATTCTCGTAAACCGCCAATGGTGCAGAATTATTACACCAATTTTATGGAGCGAACCAAAAAGAAAACTTAACGATATAAGACTTATAAGGATATTACTTTTAACGTTAAATGCTGAAGAACAAGCTTTATTAATTCCTTTTATTATTACTCTTCCAAGTCATCCAAAGCTATTATTTGAATATACAAGTTATATCACATCTGTTAGTAATGATTTGTATTTTGGAGTTAAAAGTTGGCTTGCTACTTATGATAATTGCAAAACAGGATGTGAGCTTGAAAATGTCGTTGAACGTTCTATTATTACAATGCTTTCACGAACTAGTAAGAGTCTTCAACATTTAAGCCTTAATGAAAATTGTTGCAATCAAATAATTTTTGAAAATCTTTATGAGAACACTGCCATTACCTCTATAGATTTATATAACTACTATAGTGCTTTTAAATCTGAGGCAATAGACGCAATAGTAAAGATTCTTTGTAAAAATTCTAATTTGACTTCTTTGTATCTTATGTGTCGAAGTTTGCAAGAATCGTCATCTCCAAGAAATATTGGAATAGAAGGAAGAAAAGCATTAGCAGATGCGCTTTGCAGGAATAATACTCTAAAGAATTTGGATATTAAATTTGGTTGTATTGAATTAGAAGAAGGGAAAGCATTGGCAAATGTATTCTACAAAAACACCGCGCTGACTTCTCTGAATATTATCTTGTATCAGAAGGAGGAAAAGCATTAGCAAATGCACTTTGCAAAAACACCACGTTGACTTCTCTGGATATTAGTCATAATCGATTTGGGTCAGAAGGAGGAAAAGCATTAGCAAGTGCACTTTGTGAGAACACCACTCTAACCTTTTTAAAACTTCGTCGTAATAATATTGGACCAGAAGGAGGAAAAGCATTTGCAGATGCACTTTGCATTAACATTATGCTAAAACATTTGGATCTTAGTTATAATAGTATTGATTCAGAGGGAGGAAAAGCATTAGCAGATGCACTTAGTAAAAACACTACCCTGATCTCCCTGGTTCTTAGTGAGAATTTTCTTTTTCCAGAAGGAGGAAGAGCATTAGCTAAAGCACTTAGCAAGAATACCACACTGACTTTTTGAATGTTTTATCATGTAGTATTAAATCAGAAGGTGGAAAAGCATTTGC